TTTTTCCCAAATAAATCAGACTTCTCTCTCTCTTATACCTCAAAAACGAGGTTAAAGATCCGTGCTTCAATTCGTGACTCTGAAATTTCGCTCCTTTAGGTCTCATCTGATCTGTTATTAATTCGTCATCGACGATGGCCACTGAAGAGATCACCATCGTTTGCAACCACTGGTACGTATCCCCCAAACGATTGATTTCTGGGCTTGATTTTCTTGTTCAATTTGATCGGAGTTTTAGGCGACTTGGTTGTTTTCTCTTTGTTCGATCATGACTTGTGTAATTCGATTCAAAATAAAAATATTCTGGACTCTTTGAGGTAATGATAATTTGGATTTGGTCGGTGTGATTGCAAGTGGGAACATCTGTGTCGGATTGATGAGCTGTTTGATTCAGTTTGGTTACACAATCTCTAGATTTACATGTGGATCAGGTAGGTTGTGTCGGTGATTAGAGATATAATTAAGGATTGGATGGATAGATTGGACAGTTTACATGATACCCTTTGGCAAAATAGTTGATTTTTCATTTGGTAACCTAGTAAAAGTTTTGAGTTTCTTTTCTCACTTTCCATGAAATTGTTCATGTTTTGTGAGAATTCCAAGACTATGGATGACTCGTAAATTCTTGCTACAACTTTCATTTCCCTTTATTTTTTCATCTATTTTCGCTAATACTGTCCAAATCTTGTCTACTTATGCTAATACTGTCCAAATCTTGTTTACTTAGTCATATTCTTGGAGGTTCGCCTCGATAGTTCTTGGGCGTTGTTTGTATGCATCAGCTTCCTGGTGTGTACAAGAGTTTGATCGTACTCCATCGTGGTGCTTTTCACTATGTAACTGGTCTTACTTAGCTCTAGTGTTTTGCTTTGTTTATAGAGTGATATGTGTCTAGTCATTGTATTGCCGAGTCTGCTGAGATTGAGAATCTCTGATTGTCGTAAATTCTTATTGGGATCAATAAACCCAGTTGCTTTGTATGTTCAATGGTAGCATCCACTTTGGATGGTTAATATCTTGAGAGTGCTGTAATAATCTCAGCATACTGAATTACTGATAATCCTAATGTTTTCAGTGACAGAGATATTCCATCACCAAATATCGATCTGCATCGTGTACATTGTGCCCGAAATCTAGAAAAATGTAAGATTTGTGGTGATATGGTACCGAAAAAGCATGCTGAAGAACACTTCTTGAACACACATGCTCCGGTATACTAATTTTTCTATTTCTCAATATTCTGTAAAAAAATTTCTGTTTGATTTATTTCCACAACTATCATCTTTGATTTCATATGGTGGTAATAGTATCAGTATTAGCATATTGGGTATTAGATGCTGCTAGATGACCGACCGAGATAACCTACTTCCTCTTATGACGTTCCTCTTGTATTGCATTGAGAAGGTACCATGCTCGATGTGCAAAGAAACTATAGAACGTGACGTTTTTGACAGTCATAAAGGAGAAATTTGCCCCAAAAGGATTGTAACATGTGAGTTCTGTGAGTTTCCATTACCTGCGGTTGATCTTGCTGAGCATCAGGTATTCACTTTAACTTGCTCACAAGCCTCACATATCACATTTTCTCTCCAATGAAAGGGTTTATCTGATTCGCTCAG